AATAAAAAATATTGGAAAAATTTCTAATCGTTTTCGATGATGTTCTTTTATCCTTTTGTAAACAATTTAGTAATGTTTTATATAATCATGGGAATAACCAAGGGAAAAGTGTGTAACTTTTCAGTTATTCGCAAATAAAGTTTATTTCATAACTTGTTTGCCTGAATTTTCTGGGTGATTGGACTATTTTGCCAGCCTGAAGGAAAAGGAAGCCTTTGAAATTGGTGGCTTGCCGCTCAAAAACACCATCGATGAATAATATAAACTCCCCCTCTCTCGATCATAGAGACCTCAAGTCGACGAAATGAGACATTTATTCAATGACAGTACTACAATTAATGTAAGGTTGTGTGGATGCGAACCCTATGCCTTGAGTTATCTCGAAAATAGTACGTTTTTCGGCTTAAAAACGCAGGATCTGATAGTTCCAGTGGAACTATCTGGGTTTTGCTGTACGCATCAAAATCTTTAAGATCCGATTTGTCCCGTATCGATCTACAGACCTACCACCGTTCCAGTATCGAAGCCTAGCAAAATGTTTGTATCGACTTTATTTATTTTAGAAAGAAAAACAAAAGTGGAGAATACGATTTGCTATCCCCCCCCCGTGAAATTCTGAATCCAACGGTACCCCATTCGTGGTATTTGAGCATGACAGGAGCTTATATTTGGTACAAAACCGATTTCGAGCGTTACTGTAATAATACATGAACGGATACTTTATATTACATATATATGTAAGTGAAAGTAAAAGAAGGATTGATGAAATAGTTGTACTACAAATAGGAATGGTGTTAGAATCTGAGTTCACCGAAAAACTTGCTTTACATGCTCAACTACTAAAGCAAAAACTTGCAATTTCCGCAAACAGAATACGCCGCTATAAAACGTCTATGCTCCGTAAACAGCAGAACAAAAGATTCACAAACAGTGAGAAGCAGTTCTGTTGGAACTTGGATGAAAATAAAAGGGGTAAATTGTTCGTTAACCGATATTATCTTCGACTATTGGAAAAAGCTTTGGGAGGGCAATGTATATCACAATGATGAAATAGAAAGGCTAAAATCAGTGAACAGAGAAGTTGAGGAGGCACCTCAAACGCCTGATATTGATATTTCAATAGAGGCAGTAGTCATCGCAACAAAGAAAATGAAAAATTGGAAAGCACCGGGCAGTGATAAAATTCAAAATTTTTGGTTGAAAAACCTAACCTGTTTGCACGAAATACTTGCGATGAACTATAAAAAAATGATGAGTGGACAAATAGACATTCCTAAAACTTTATGTCAGGGTTTTACCGTTCTAATTCCTAAAAAAATAGGGAGACCTATTGGAACCACAAGGCTTTAGGCCAATTACTTGTCTCAACGGAGTTTATAAGATTTTAACATCTACTCTATCAAGTAAGATTGAATGTCACCTACGATCCAATAATTTGATCACAACAGAGCAACTTGGTTGTAGGAAAGGAGCTCAATGTTGTAAGGAGCTGTTGCTCATAGATTCGTTTGTTACAGACCAACAGAAGCATGGATTGATAACAGAAAGGCATTTGATTCGGACCCTCTCAGCTGGCAGTTGAAAGTCTTGGATTTGTATAACGTTCATCCATGTTTAACTGAACTCCTGAATAAATTGATGAACAGCTGGAAAACAAGATACCAAGGAGACTGCCTCAGTCTCGTTTGGTTTTTTCTTGCAATGGCTCCACTATCAATTTTATTTTATTATCAATCAGCTACAGTTTTTATTACAAAAAGCCATTAAGTGACATTCCATAACCTCAGAAATATGTGAAATTCACATACACATATTTGAAAGTATATCAAAAAGTAGGTGACGTTTTGCAATAAACCGAAAATAAAATCATATGTTTTTTTTATTTCATGTAATGAACGTATCATAGATGAGTTTATATTTGTCATGGGCGATACAAGGGATTTCCTTCTTCTGTGCTCAAAAGTTGTCCTGTTCCGAAGGTCAATGAACGAGACGGACCCAAGAGTAGGAAACGAGTTGGGGACTTGAACATTGATTTAATTTCAGGAAAGTTCCTGGGACCATTAAGAGTTATCAAGGAGCAAACTAATCCCTGCAACCAGAATACTAACCAGCCTCCGGCCCTGTGATAATGTTCATTGAATTTACGGCTCAGGGACCAAGCTGCGCAAACAGAAGGAATATATATTTTTGAAAGTAAAATAAAGAATATATTAAAATTTTAAAATTGGTACTGAAAAAGAAAAAATATCAAGCATAAAATTCATTAGTATGATCCGTTATACTTCACTAAAGCCAGTAACAAGATACACTAACGGATCCAGGATTTATTTTTTTGGGGGGGAAGAAAGGGGGCTTCAGCCCGGAAGTTTTTTTTTCATATATATATAACGATAATTACTTTGAAAAAATAGAAAGATACCTACTACCTATATGAAATGGTGTTTAAGTGATTCTTGAAGTCCTATTATATGTAATTAAACGAGCAATAATACTTTAAGACATAATATTTTAATATTTTTTACCATAAAACATGATTACATTTTACCATTTGGGGGGGAGCTTCAGACCGAAAGCTCCCCCCCGTAAATCCGCCTGTGACAAGATGTGATAAAAATTATATAATAAAATCGATATCATATATAGTATGATTAAAAATATTTTTTCAAATATAAAAATAGTAAATAGAGATCCAAAACTGTTATTCATTAGTATTTAACCAGCATTCAGAGCTTTTTACACACTTTCATTATTTCTGTTAATGTAAAGAAGACTGTATTCAAAGAATTCAACAGATGCAACTATATTCCGGAAATGCCATTTACCATATTACTCATAGGTCTTAAAATTATCCAAAAAAAAAAATGTTACAATGTTTCAGGAGTTTCCATCCGATCCAAGATCGATGGCGGATGTACCTGCTCCCCTCCCCTCTAAGAACATTATTGCCCTCATATTGCTAAAAACATTGCATGAGAAAGTAGAATTACAAAAATCGCAAATTATATACATTTACACAGTACCGGCCATGCACATTCGGCACCCCCGGCCAGTAACATCATCTGCCCCTGCCTAAAAAAATTAAATTGATTTCTTTAGCCAATTTACATAATGTAATATTTTAATTGTATTTTTTTCTCTTTAATTATTTATCCGCACCTGCCATGGTGTTGACAATCAGCAGATGTGTTCTGATGATGAGGATAGGCATTAAAGGCATGAGGAAGGATAGTACTCAGCAGCACCTCTTCCTGGTCATTATTTTTTTTTTTTTATTTAGGTGAGTAGATCTCTTATCCAGCTCCTTTTTAATCTCCCCCTAATGGGCATGTCAGTCGGAGCCCTGTCAGTTATAAATCTGTTTGTGTGTCCGTGTAGTTTGAGATGAAAACGGGAGTAGAGAGTACGTATGTGTTGGTCTATAGCTGGCTGTCGTAAGTCGTTATGTAAAGTTTTGTTGTTAACGTACCAGGGAGCTCCTGTTATAAGTCGTAAAATTTTGGATTGAAATGACTGCAGTTTTTGTAAGTGTGTCTTTTTTGCTGAACCTGTACATCTGAGAGGCGTATGTCCAGATGGGTTTGAGTAGGTAAGTGTATGTATTTAGTTTTTGTCGAACTTTCAATTTCGATTTAGAAAAGAGTGAGTAAAGTATTTTCAGTCGCTTGTTTAAGGTCTGTCGTTTCATTTTGACGTGTGGGCCCCAGGTCATCCTTCTGTCGAATATTAGTCCCAGGTAACGTACTGTGTTTGTCTGAGGAATTTGGTTCTCTCCTATATAAACTGGTGGGCACGTTTCTCGTCCAAGTGTAAATGTTATATGCTGTGACTTGTCATGATTTAATTTTATTTTCCAAAGTGAGTACCAATTTTGTAAAGTCAGTAAATGTTTTTTGTAAATTTATTGAGGCTATTCTGGGATTGTATTTAATTCAACATTTATCTAATACAGTTGCTTTATTGATATGTTAAAATTAATTATTTTCATACTTTTTGTATATATTTTTTAATTTCTATCAAGTGACGAGCAGCCCTGCAGAAATTCTGGTGCCCATACGGACGCCTCGGATGCCCCACCCTATATGATGATTCGTACTCAAACCTTTGTAGGCTCATTTGTATTGAATTTTGGTGTTGATGATGATTCTGATTTTTTATCTCCTGACCTTTTATCTCCCCAGTGCAGTCTCCATTAGGTTGTTTCAGTTGGTTTTCTAGAAAGTTTACAGAGTCTAGAAAGTTGTACTCGTTCTTCACTGCAGCCAAAGGCTCGACTGTGCTACGAAAATTGTGAGGAAAATGGAGGTAAATAATAAAATGGTGTTGAGTCCTAGTGAAAGATAGCTTGTTTTCTTTTTTTTTTTTTTTTGTGTGTGGTTCAGTGGTTGATCCTTGAACACCTTTATTGGGCAGTTTTATTCACTTAGCCTAAGTGGTTTATTATTACTGGCCAATCACCTTCTTACGGATTACAACGTGTTTTTAGGATTACATCCCGGGACTGTTTTAAATATTGCCTATAAGAAGGGTTTATTTAAATGGTAATTATAAACTTCATTCTTTATTATCTTTAAAAATTTATCTTTCCTTTCATACTATAAAATTCAAATCTTTGCCACCTTCAGTCACCAATGTCCAGAGACAAATTAAACTTACCAGAGGAGTGACTGAATCAGAGACAATTTAAAGGATGTACTGTGGCTTTGTTGAAGATTTATCTGGATGAATTTAAGCCGGGGTGAGGGAAGCGACAAATCCTGCAGGAATGGCGGAGTAGATTGTGCTTGGGCTAACACAATTAATCTTACCCAAACGGTAGGCTACCAAATACAAATCGTTTCGATACGCATTCATCTCTCGACCGGAGACAATTCAATCTGCCAAGCATTTGTCATCCACCGTTTTAGATGGGATGAGAGAAATTTGGTCCGAAATAGGCCATTATGGTAAAAATATTAGAGCAAATTATTTGTTGCAACTATTTAAATTTATCATATGTTGTATTAGTCTGTGTTGTAATGGTGCTTTAAGTTTGGATCTATTTTGATTAAAATAAAATTCATACATAACTGAGCCTCGGTAATCGAAATTTTTACTAGAGTGAAATTCTATCTTCTACGTCTATCACCAAAACAAGATGGCACTATATATCGATGAAAAAGAGCGCATGTTCCTGACGTGTTCGTGGAAGCAGTTGAGGCTCATACGAAAAAGAAGTCATGGAAGGCTCAAAGCTAACGCTTCTTGTACTGATGTGAGAGCCTGGTCTTGCGATCCATTAGACCAACGAAATTATATCCGTGATGCCGTTAATGATTGCGTAAGTAAAATTTACATTAATACACAGTTTTTTTCTATCTTAAGATAATTTACATCTTCTCGGCAATGTCGCATTTTTATGCTACAACAGTATTTTACTAAATAGAAAACTACAATCGACTGAACTGTCATCTTGTTCCACGTAAATGAATATTTCAATGTAATAAAAACTGAAACCATAAAATATCGTACAATTAGTTCGAATAAACAAAGGACTAGAGGACACCAAACCAGAGCAGCAAGGATATATTGACCTAATAGCTCAAGTAATATATACGTCTTTTATAATTGTGGGTTATTGGTTGACTGTCGTGAATAATGAGCGGTTTCATAGATATAGACGTATAAAGGTAACCGCGTATATAAGAGGAATTAATGAAGAGAAAAATTGTTGGGGTGATCAGTGAGAAATAAGAAAGCAAAATAAATAATAATATTTATTTTAACATTTGCCGACATTTCGACCTGAAGTTCAGGCCTTCATCAGGGCTGCTCCCAAAAGATTGCTGGAGTACAGTAAGTAAATAGACGGAGTACGTCTTTCAAATAGACGGTCGAAACAAACGAACGAAAAATTCACGACAAAACTAATTTGCTCTAATAAGGCATAAAACTACGATTACATCTGAGCCCCGAGAAAAAGACCATGTCCATCTTTTAAAAAATAATTTAGCAACAAAGAAACAAATTTTAATAGTTCTAAGTTATGAATAACTGGCTCTCTGAATAAATAGAAAAAAGTGACAGTGTGTCCTTTCCCTCCGCAGTACAGATTTTGTAACAGGTACCATGTAGTACCATCCATATATTTTTATATTCATTTCTTTTTAGCCGTTTCATCTGGGGAAAAAATTACAGTAAATAGATAAAGTGAAGAGAATTTTCAACCACTTAATTCGTTCGTCATTTCTGTCGGTACGTCAAATGGGAACTGGACATCTTTATTTCACCTAAATCGAAGTTCGGTGAAAGTTCACTGACAAACAAATATTACCCTTTAAACATATTTCTTGGTGGCTTATAATTTCTACAGGAAAGAAACGGAACAATTTTGAATAGAAAGTTTCCGCTATTGGGTAGTTGAGATATATATTGTCACTGTCCAGAAAAGGATTTACTTGAAGAAATTGCAAACTAAAATTACAAAAATCATAAAATTTGTTTTTTAATTTGAAAAAAATTAAAGGTACTCTGAAAAGAATACCTAAGATTTTCATTTATGTCGATGCTAAAATACATAGAAATTAAAAGCATTGAGTGATCGATTACCGTTAATTGATTCAATAAATTACAACGAATGGTCGTAATCGATTATATTAGATTTACTTTGGGGAAAGAGAAGGGAAATAAAAAAAATAATAGAATAACATTTTTTTTAAATGAATCTATTGGATAATAATAATATCAACCACATTGAAGGGCAACACAAGTGTTAGAGCTACAATTTTTCATTTATAAAATATATATAATACATACAATATACTATAAGTAAATACAATTTAAAAAATAAAAATATATAATACATATGCCTATTTACAATAGTTATACTGAGGCCTCCGAGCAGATCTTTTTTTTTCCCCAGATGTGGAAGACAAAACCTCCAGGTGGTTCCAGTGCTTTTCTTACACTGTAAGCCAGAAGAGACTCAAGGGAGTGCACTAGAGCCACAGATGCTCAGAAATTTGGCAGGTGGAATATCTGGCCATTGCCAAAACCCAAAATATAAACATAGAAGTAGGAAGTTTGACAATATTAAGAGATAACGATCGAAAGTCAACGGAAATTACAAGATGTAAATAAGAACAAAGTAGAAAGTAAATGTCCAATCAAATAAAACGAAAGTAAAATGAAAAGAAAACAGAGGAATGAAAGGTAAGAGATAACAAAAACGTACAAAATAAAATAAATAAAGAATTACTGTCGGAATAATGCGACAGTATTGGACAGATTGGCCATTCGATGCTTGACCGAAGTGGCTAGTACATGACTGAAAGGAAACGGGAATGAAAATAAAAGAGTTGTCGAAGATATATATTATTTATCGCTTTCATTATCGTATCTTGTTTTGCTTAGTCCTGAAGAAGGTCTTCGAAAACACCGAAACTTCGGCACATATCCAAAGAAATATTCAATACACGACGTTTTATTTTTACAGTATTACAAACATCAATCGTTAGCACTAGCGGATCCAGGATTTAATTTTGGGGGGGGAGGCTTGAGCCCGAAACCTTTTTTTTTTATAAAAATAACGATAATTACTTTGGAAAAACAGAAAGAAACTAACCACCTATATGAAATGGTGTTTTAAGTTATCCCTTAAGTACTATTAAATGCAATTACACGAAGAATAATACTTTAAGAGGTATTTTTTAATTTTTTTTTTCCATAAAGCATGGTTATATTTTTCCATTTTGGGGGGGCTTCATCCCGAAAGCCCCCTCCCCCCCGTAAATCCGCCCGTGATCGTTAGTCATAATATCCATCATTTAAACAATAATAATTATTTATATCTACACATTACTCTTATTCTATTAATTATCTAAGTAATTCTATCAGTTGAAACACTTCAAATGTTCGAACATAATTACTAACGTCTAAGTTGACTTCATAAAAATGTTTAAAAAATATATGTTAATTCCAATTAATAAATGTCAAACATTTTTTTCAGGTGACCACCTTCGGGAATTACGTTCCCATTCTTGAACTACTCAACGTTATGGGAGTCACGGTAAGTATTCTAATAAAGTGTCTAATAATAAAATATTATTTTAACAAGGAGGAATGAAAAAAAAAAAACTTTCAGGAAAACGCCGTGCTGTTAGATGATACGGTGAAAAAACTGACAATAATAAACGACATATTGCAAGACAGAGATCCTTGCGAGGCACAGGCCAGCATGACAGATTCCGAACAGCACATCGGGCAGATCTGTTACGGAACCACGAACGTAAAATTATTTCACTTATTCATAGCTGATAATTAGTAAGAACAAAAATTAAATTGAAAAGGATTTTGACGTTTTAATATTTTATATCGATATTAGATGCTGTCAAAAAAAAAAAAATTCCTTATATAAAAAAAGGCAACTAAATAAATGACAGTTAAAATAATAAACAATAAAACAATATTTCTTTTAAATATATTAGCTTATCTAAGCTAACCTACCTCCACTGTGTCTTCTGGACTGTTAGTCAACTTTCCCTAGTACGTTTCCATATTTTTCTCGAGTAAAATAAGTTTTTTTTTTTGTCTTTCTATAACACGTGTGTTGAGGACTTGGGAAGGCTGACTCACGGTGTAGTCAAGCCAAAGAGATATTTATATCATATCAATTGGTACTGGTACAAGGACAAAAATCAAGGCTAGTAAATCATGGTAAGATTCGGAAGGTCTTAGTTAAATCCATACCAGTGATAGCACATCTCGCATCAATAGTCCAGAAAAGATGAACCAGATAGAGATAGTATTAGAGATAGCAAAGAAGAAATGAACTGTATATCGAAATCTGCTGTAGTGATGTATTATCTTTCTTTTAGAAATAGTATAACATCACTCAAGAAGAAATGAACTGTATATCGAAATCTGCTGTAGTGATGTATTATCTTTCTTTTAGAAATAGTATAACATCACTCAAAAATAGTCACAAAAAAAAAGTCGCCATGTTGCTCGGTGGATCTCAACGGTGGGGAAAGAGCAATGACACAGCGATCTTCCATTTTACACTCAAATTGAGAATAAACGCTCATCATCCTGCAATCCTAGAAAAACAATATCAAATTTGTAGACAATTTGGAACATAATATAAAAGAATAAAAAAGTAAACATGTAAGATATCTTTTAGGATTACTTCAACCTAGACCGTATTGAAATACATTTTTTTTTCTCAAGACGTCCAACGACTTTTTTCGGACACTCATACTAAAAAGCTGACCATCCTTTCTTTTATATTTATTTGCCAATTTCCTGCAGCACAAGCATAAGTTCAGCTGGCGGAGGTCCTCTTCCACGTCGTTCAGCCATCGTATACGCGGTTCACCTCTCCTTCGTTTACAGCATTTCCCTAGGCAAACTTGACGTAGGCATCCTGTCCATGCCCAGCCCAATCTTCTTTTCATGATTACATTAATTATGTCCGCTTCTGGTATTAGATCTTTCAGCTCGGAGTTCGTTCTCATTCTAAGCCCATCGTCCTCTCGCACAGGGCCAAATATCCTTTTAAAACTCTTCTCTCCCATGCCCTTAGCCTTTTCTCGTTAGCTGCTGTCATAACGCAGGTTTTACTGCTGTAAATTACTGTGGGCCTAATTATAGTCTTCTACCTTAGCTTTTCTTGAGAGATTTTTAACCCGGGAGGCGAAGTCGTACTTTTTTAATCTTCTCAGATCTGTTTATCCAGTTGCCAGGCAACTCGCGGTGCTGTGCACACGCTTTAGCCCATTCGGCCACCCCGCCCCCTTGCGACTCGAGCCTTTATGTCCTTTGTCATTTCGCTTTCTCTCGTGACGATTCCACTCCTGATACTTCAAGGACCAGCATACTCTGAAGTGGTGCTCGCCTACCCTACCTACCTCCCTATATATCCTACCTCTTTTCTTTGAAAATACCATCTCAGTGTCTTCATGTATTTCGTTTTTTCTTCATTTATAACCAAGCCCAATTCATTAGCAGCTGTTTCAAACTCTTCTTTTGTCCCTGCCAGTGCCGGTAATGATCTTGCCGATACCACTACATCATCGGCATAGGCCAAATGTTGGGCTAATCTGTTATGAATATTTCCTCTTTGCTTTCTTTTATTTGTTTAATAGCATATTCTAAAGCTAGGTTGAAAGTACAGGGGAAGAGGATCTCCTTGACGTAGCCCATGTTCCAATTTGAATACATTAGACATTTGTGAATGGACTTTCACTCTGCATTCAGCCTCATTTTAATAAGCCTTATAAGCTTTTTGGGCATGTTCATCTGGTCCAGAGCCATTAGCATTCGTTTTCGGTCAATGCTGTCGCACGCTTATAATACTCGGTTGTTATAATCGCCCATTTTCCATCAACTTCATGAAATTTTTAAATCATGCTGTCCCGTCTCTTTTAAAAACTTGATTTTATTCAGATAACTACGGTCTTCACTTAGTGCATGGCTTGGGATCAAGGAATGCCTAAGTTAGCCATTATTCTGCTTTACTTCCTCAATTATGTGTTTTACTCTTTTGTAGTTAACCGTGGGTGAGATGGCTGTGTCATATTCACATCACTTCGTCTCTACTCGACTGTCTGGAGCATGTTCACTTTTTTTCTGAATGTTTAACCAATCGAAGTTTGTTTGACATTTGTTGCTCCTGTGAAGTAATTTGCTAAATTTTATGTTTAAAAAAAAAAATTAAAATTTTATGAAGAAATCAAAAGAAATATTCGCGAGCCATATTTTGGAGACCCCTGGAGCAGTCAATAGTTTCCTCTCACGATATGGTTTTCTGAATAAACGTTATTGGTACTTCGTAGCGGTAAAAATTGAACATGCTTTATTCAATTTATATTTTGAGATTCTCAGTTACATATTATGGTACATGGTACCGAATTTCCTGTTTTCGCTCCATAAGTATAAATTATTACAGAGTATTTGTAATAATGTACAATAGATTATTAGTAGATGATTAGAAGTAAATTTTTATTCTTTCTTTCTTATTCATTTGAATAGATTCATGCTAAAAAGGGAAGGAGGTAAGGCTCAAGGACGAGCGATTTCGTCACCAATCATTATTTTGTTATTTTTATTTTTTCTTTGCACATCATGAAGCCTGGAACTGAAGGGAAGCGATAGTTTTTTAGTTTTTAGTTTTCAGCTCGCTATAGGTTTTTAGCTCGCTCATATAAGCTTTTGTTTTGAGGATAAAAGCAACAACTATAAGATGGATTGTCCGGTTGGGTGTACAGGTTAACTAAATATTTAGCACCAAGCATCTGGCGACGAAAATGTAATGGAAGTATTCCTGCTTCCGAACAATTGCTTAAGGTTGGGTACTATTACGAAATACTCCAATTCAAATGATCGATCAGATAATTGGAATTGATTTAAAATTATATTACAATAATTATTTGGCAGATGTCAAAGTAAACAAAAGCGTAATTATAATTAAGGCTTATTAAATATAAATTTAATAAAAGATGATCTAGGGAAAGAGACTAAAATACATATTAGTAGAAAAAGGCCTTTTTCAGTCTCGATAAATAATAACTTTATTTCAAATTTATCCAAATTTTCGCCTCTTCAGGTATAATCTGATTTTAAATGTAATTCAAAATTTTCATTCGCTTTTTAGATGTGCACACACATGCACACTTAGTCAAAGAACACAACCGAATGCACTCCTAAAAAGCAAATGAAAATTTGGATTACATGTAAAATCAGATTATCCTTAAAGATGCCTGAATAGGAGAAAATTGGTATAAATTTGAAATAAAGTTATTATTTATCGAGACTGAAAAAGGTCTTTTTCTACTAATATATATTTAATTTAATTAATGTTTTAAATCTTGTTAAAATGCAGTTGACAACTGATGAAATAGAAGTAATTCACAACTTAAGGGAGCTAGTCAGAGATCTGGCGAAGCAGTACTCTTACTTTACAGAAGTGCGTGAAGAAAGAGATGAGCTTAGAGACCGCTTGGCGAGCAGCTCCTCGGAATGGTCCTGCCAGGTGGAGGAACATAAATATGAAACAAATTGTCTACAGGTAAATATTGTTATGAGAGTTTTCAGGTTTATTTAACTGTGAGTCCTTTATCGATGCCACTAGTCGATTTGATGAAAAATGAAGAAAGTTTTCAATTTGACATTCATTTACATAATATAATACATTTTTGACATGCAAACCATTACATAACGGTGGGTATCAAGTATATTGCTATTTCTGTTGCTGCTGACCGCTGAGGTGTATACAGGAGCACTAACGGATCCAGGATTTAATTTTGAGAGGGGGGCATGAGCCCGAAAGATTTATTTTTGTATGTATATATTAGGATAATTACTTCGCAAGAATGAAAGGAACCAATTACCTATATGAAATGGTGTGGAATTGATTCTTTAAGTCCTATAAAATGTAATTAGACGAACAATAATACTTAAAGAGATAACTTTTTAATATTTGTTTCCATAAAACATGGTTATATTCTACCATTTGGCGGGAGGGGGCTTCAGCCCGAAAGCTCCACATTCCCCCCGTAGATCAGCCCGTGCCACCCTTCCACATCCCTATAAATTGCATATTGTTGTGTTCCTTGTACATATTTATGAATAAAAAGCCAATGTTCCCACAAAAAAAAAGTGAACGAACTGCACCAAAATGGCGTCCAAATGTAGCGGACTGACGACTTTGACTTTAGTTAGCTTCTTGGTCATTGAGAATTATAATTTTGCTTGATTTCTTCCTCATTGGCCTTCCGTTAAAGCTGGATGGTCAGAGAATAAAACACGGAAAAGTATTCAAAAATAATTGGCTTAGGTAATAAAAAAAAACAGCAAAGTCAATATTTCCAACTTAAAACTTTTCAAGTTGAAAACCAAGCGTCATTTGTATTTGAGTATATTTATCTTTTTTAAAAAACTGATTACTTTTTAAACTATTTGAAGCGTTCCGTAGAAATTGCACTTAATCGGCGGAAAAGTGGTACTAGCGTAGGTGCCGAGAGGCCTCTGCCACATCATTCATTACTCATAAATGGCATAGTTATGGTGCTGTAATAACGTTTCTGGGACATTATATTGATTGTATTAACGAACTAATATTAATGCAATAATTTAATAGTCAAAAAAATTAATTATTTTCTTCTTTTAAATGTTACTTCCTTTATTCTATACTGAGGTGATTTAAAAAGGCCTATAGTAAAATGATATAATTATAATGATAAAACTTAACGCTAAAATATTTCGCTGATTATCTTAATTAAATTTTGCTTTCTCACTACTGAAGGTAGGGAAGCATTGTATTCGTGCGAGAGGTTAAAAAAAATGTTGTGCTCAGAATAATAAAAAGTTTCCATTCGCGTTTTACGTTTTAGACGTCAAGGATCAATATTTGGTTCTGTCTTTATGTCTGTAGTCAAATCAATACAACGGGCAGATCACTTACTTCCCATATCAATTTTATTAAATTCTAACCAGCACTTCCGTTTACTCACGCGCAAGCGCATGTTTTTAGATATGCCAATATTTCAGAAATGGCTCGTTCGATTTGGCTCAAAGTTGGATAAAAGGTAAGTATTTGTAAAAAAAATAATGAAGCGACAATTTGATTGAATTCTGTCTATTGTTTCTCTTATATATGCGCAAACGTGTTCTCAAAAATCGCTAATTTGATTTGGCTCAAACGTGGTCATAATTAAGGGATTGATCAACGTAAAATGAAATAGGCATCAGTTTTATCAAATTCTATCTAATACTCCAAAAAAAAAATACTTCTGCTTTCAGAACAGGAAATCTGTTACTTGATATGCCTATAGTTTGAAACTTAGAGAACAGTATAGAAATTACTTAATATAAATTTCTAATATCACTAATATCAAGCCCGTATATGTTGAGGAATTTTCCGAAAACGATTTCTTCCAGAGATTTTATTCTCATTTTCATTCTCAAGAAAATTTTTAGACCTTTTAATATATATATTTTATAGCAAATGAAAGCGGTGAGGAAGCTATACAGACGTTTTTTTTAACGTTTGCAATTTAACATTTTGTTTTGTATATTTGCTGATTCTTAGAGGTAAGTTAAATTGTATATTAATACCTTTTTTATAAATCAAAATATATGCTTAATCTGCTCTACATGTAATGAATAGTTGTCGGGTTGTTTAATAAAACTTATATATCACTAATAAAAAAATTACAATTTTTTTTATTTCATCTATTTTGTTTGGATGTCGAGCCACATTATAAAAAAAAATAGGAAATTTTAATATTAAATGTTTTATTCTATCTCCATAAAGAAATATGTAAAGAGCGAATCTATTTGTTCTTCTTGGTAACCGGAACTATTTGAGAATATTTCAAGGAGCTCTTAAAAGGGGACCAAATGCTGGGGCAGTTTGGATGAGATTAAGGAGACGATGGAGGTTTATTATAGTGAAAGCCATTTTAGTTTCGATTGCACATATCACTTATATATTGATAAAGGGACATATTTTTCATTCTGTTTAGTGAATTTGTAAAAGATCTTTGAAGGAATCAGAAAGGAAAACATACAAGGAGCTTTTCTGAAAGGCAAGTATCTTCGTGAGCGGAGTGGCCGAATGGGTTAACGCCTGTGCACTGCACTGTGTTGCCCGGCAACCTGATATATGGCTCAATGATATAAAAATAGTCACGAGTTCGCGTCTCGGTGCCGGGGGTCTTTTAAATCCCCGCTCACACCCCCTGGCTAGGAAAAACCCCGTATAGCCTTTAACGGCGAGGAATGGGAGGACCAAAAAAAAAAAAGGCAAGTATTTGTACAATCCAAAGTATGAGCCACAAAGCAGGGTAGGTCGTTTTTTCCCTTTCTCGATGAACTCATCTTTAACCTGCTTTAACGTGAAGATAGTCCCAATGTGCATTTTGAGTTTCTCAATCCATATTGCTCTGGCAATCGACAATATTTCTTGTTCTAGCTTCTACAATTCTGGAGTAAAGCTTCTTTGGAACATTGAACAGGAATAAATCTCAATGTGCATTACATTTCCTGGTACCCCCTTGCATGTAAAGGGATATAACTACAGTCATTTCTGTAGAGCTAATGTATGTTGCATCTGATAGCACTGCTGAGCTGTTTTAAACAAAGGCAGGTTGGCTTGGGTGAGGTTACCCAGAGAGAGTAGTAGTCCTTTGTTCCAGATAATGTCATGTTTGTGTAGAGAAATAAAAGTGTTTTGTGTATTTGTGGTATAAGGTTCATCAACAGAGCCTCATTTGTTTCCTGAAGTGATTTCATAACTTCATATAGTGGCATTCCTTGTGGAGAAATCAAGGATAATGAGTGCTGAAGAGTTGAAAACTGCTTAATATTTTACAATGCCTCATTTGTTTTCTGAAGTGATTTCCCAGTATTAAATAGTAGCATCTCTTGTGTGTGGGAAATCAAGGATAATGAGTGCTGAAGAGTTGAAAACTGCCAAATTAGAAAGAGCTTAGTGGAGAAATTTATTTACTACTTTAGCTAATTCAGTTGAAAAGAAATTAGCTGAAAATGCTCCTGAGTTCAAAAAAAAAAAAAAATAGAAAATTAGAAGCAAGCGCTAAACATCTATTAGAGTTTGAGAAAAAGGTAAGAGCTTTGATACTAGTTGATGAAAATATTGATGAAAAAGAACTGGAGGATGAATTTGATGCATCCATAAGTTATCAGGAAAAGTGGATATAAATAAAAAATGAATTTGATGCTTTGGTTGAGCATTCAAATAAAACTTGGCATGATGATGATATTTCAGCAACTATCAGTCCTTGAAAAGAGAAATTGCAGAAAGAAAAGGAAGAAATACTTTCATATAACGTTTTTGGGGATGTTGAAACAAATCTAGTTGCGTACAACGTCAAACTTGAAGATTTATCTGGTAAATTGTATGGTAAAGTTAAGTTGGAAAACATACAAATTTGGAGTGATATCCCTAGATCAAATGATGAATGCCTAGATATATTGAAAGGAAAGAATATAACTTGGAGCGATGGCGATGGTGGGAGATACAAGCAAGAAGTAGAGTTGATTCTTGCAGCAGATGTCATGGGACAAAACCTGACAGAAAGGTTAGAACCAATAACTGAAAATTTGATAACCACAGAAACGAGGCTAGGGTGGACAGTTATTGGCCAAACTAAAACAAAGGCTTGTTCCATTCTAAGAACACTTACGAACGAGAGACTTTTACAGCGCTTTGACTCTAGTGCAAGTGAGTCTTACTATTCAGGGCAAGCTGGAATATCTTCGACCCATTACAATAATTTACTAAGAGTCGTCTAGATAATGGCACTACCAAGAAGACCGAATCCCGGTCAAACTACAGTCCTATCTGTAGAGTTAATGCATCTGATAGCACTGCTGAGCTGTTGGAAACAAAGGCAGGTTGGCTTGGGTGAGGTTACCCAGAGAGAGTAGTAGTCCTTTGTTCCTGATAGTGTGATGTTTATGTAGAGGAATAAAAGTGTTTTGTGTATTTGTAGTATAAAGTTTATCAACAGAGCCTCATTTGTTTCCCTAAGTGATTTCCTGACATCCCACATATCATTTTCTAATAGCATATTATTCAGTATACATTGAAGAGTGACGAAATATATCTTCACATTTGTTGCCGCCCAGCACATGTACGCGCAGCAGTTCGGTTTACTTCGTCCAGACCTGCTGACTTGCCAATTGCTTCTAACAAATGTTTATTCCTCATAAAATGGTCTTCACCATAATAAACCTACATCTTTTCTTTAACTGCTAATCATCCAAACTGCCCCAGCATTTGACCCCCCTTTAAACAGCTCCTTGAAATATTCTGTTTATCTGTCGATTATATATTCGTTTTGCTATATAATGGATACTGATCCTTGTTTTATTTTCAGAGATTTTTGCCAATTCCCTCCTCGTTTGCTTAATGTATTGTATTTATTTTTGGATTCTATTTCGTGTCTTCCCCTATTCCGAAGCCAAATATTAGCAATTAGTTCCGGTTACCAAGAAGAACATATAGCTTCGCTCTTTACATCTGTCTTTCTGCAGAGAGAG